GCTGTGTGAAGCTTACTTTTTAGAACTGGACAATGAACAGATAAGTTGGATGGTGATAAGTGCTATGGAAAAAAAAATAACAATTAAGAAGGTGGAGAGAGTTGAATAGATTTCACACTGGGAAAAAATAGGAAAGGTTGATTGGGGGAGTACAGGCTTCATAGGCAACGGAAGCATTCTATAGTGGAGTATCCTAATAACCTAGATTTCCTTCAACCTTATCTCAACCCATCCGAAGGAAAACAGGAATATTCTATAGGAGCTTCAGACCAATAAAAAGCGCTATTTCCCAAGCCAGCGATTCTCTGATGAAAGATGTCTCACTCCCTTCCCGTAAGCTTGTTTCAGCAGCAGTACCCCTACTGCTGCTCAGCAACTAGCTCATATCCTATTATGTAAGTGACCTGGTTTGTAAAGGACCCCACATAGAGCTTCATCTGAGAGATGTCGCTCTCTTTCTTGGCATAATCTGTGTGTTGAGAGGGCCAGTATTTCACTGTACAATCTGAGGATTGTTATTCCTGTCAGGTCGTCCATGGCAAAGTTGTACAAAGGACTGGCTTCCCAGTGTGCAAATGCCGGACAAGATGCTTCCCCCACCGCAGGCCCTGAGGCTGTCCGGGACAGTGGGATCCACTCAGAGGAGATTCTGCAACCCTACCCTTCTGCTCCTGGTTCTAGCCCTGCTGTCACGTAAGCACTTGTTGTTGTGAGAGGTTTAATGGCAACACCCTCAGATCTGAGGCAGTCTCTTCGGGTTAGTAGGTGAACTTGGACTAGGAGTATGATTCATAGGACTCCTCCTTCCTTCCTGTCCTACGAGGCCTATATGTGACAGCCATTCAGCTGACCAGATGCTTGGATCCCAGAGGAAGACATTGACAGTGAGAAAAAAGTCAAAGTAGATATTTACTTTGTGGATCGGTTCAACTCTTGCAATAGTGACAAAACTTCACTTTGAAGTTCAAAATACAAGACCTAAAAATGTAATCCTTAGAAATTATACCCAGACTGAACAATATGTCATTGTACTCTGTGTAAGGAAAATTATACCCAACGACTTTCCAAATTGAAATGTGAATCAGGTCACAACTGTAAATGTGAGACCTACTTTTCATCTTAAGGTCACCAGAGTACATAGTCTGTGAGCATTTATATTTGCATTCGTTGTGCATTTTTGTAGCAGAATTAAAATATGAATACATAAACTAGCAGAATAACCACTTTTGGTCAATATGCAGTACATGATCCATTTACATCTGTCTGTGAAGTACAACACAACTGGAAAATTCTCTCATCTGCTGGGTATGCTACCCTACTTTGTAAATGACTTGATTTCCGTGATTCTAAAAGACAGAAGCACTCCATGACATTGGGCAGATCCAGAGTGACAGCTTTTACAGTTTTTTGATAATGCTTTGGTAGGTGCAAGTTTAAGATGACTTATGTATCAGTTTACAGTCACATGAAAAAATTTTTGAAAGTTTATTATGAAAACTCCAAATACACAGAGAATACAGTAAATCCTATATATATATCATCATCCAGACTCAACCATACCGAGATGCCACCTTTCTTCCTCTAGGTACATAATTGTTTCTAAGGGTAAAGATCCACCAGTTGAACAAATGTTGAGTTTCCATTATTTTGTACTGCTCTGCTAGGGCAAGAAAGGGAGAAGAGCG